TTAAAAGACATCGTTTACTTTAGTATATCGACTATTGCTGCAATTATACTATCGATATATTTGCCTTGACATTAATTATGATTATTTATACAGATTATGCTGCAGCTTATCGATAAATACAAAGGAATTCATATTAGCGCTAACATCAATATCGATTAATTATGTAAGCTATGCTGCAGCTGACCTTTCCAAATGAGCTAATTTTGAATTTTGCTTTGTGCATAATGTAATTAAACATAAATAGAAGCATCTGCCTCTTACAACTGCAAAGTTTCATGAGCTGAGCTGTGCTATAATTAATTTTGCACTTTGCAATCTGTATTACAATTTTGTATTGTGCATTTGGGGGAACTTCTGCTGCTGTAGTGTAATCATTTGATGTAGCGAATAAATAATTCATGCGCCGCATTGTACGAGCTGCGCTTTAGCTGTGATCGCGCGCGGTACGAGCTTTAATTACAGCTGGGCTATGATTAAATTATAATGCTGCTCGGTCGACCTTTTAAGCGTCCCCTTGATGCTGGCGTCGCAGCTGTTGCTTTTAATTAATTTGCGCTTAGACGCCGAGTTACGAAGAAAAATTACCAGCCGCCCAAGCGAGCGAGAAAAAAATAAAATTAAATAAAATAGAAAAAGTCTAGCTCTACGGTTTTTTGTGTTGGCGCCCAGGTGAGAAATGAACAATGTTTGCGGCCAGTAGGCAGCCACCATCGTCATTACGCAGATTTCTCCAAGGTACACGGACAAAAAATAAAAAGGAATAAATTGCGCTGAACGTGCTCCATATCCGAGACACAGATGTGGGTCAGCTGTTGGTCACAGTGGTGCTCGAGGCTGCACTTCCGCTACATAAATTGGCGACCAGTTTTATAGTTTGGCTAAGCTGTGGGCGGGTGGGACGTGTGCTGGACGTGTGGTTAGACAGATGTACCATTAAATATTTGGTTTTGGTAATAGGAATTTCGAATACTGCTAATATAGGATAGCAATTTATATGAGACATATTCACAAATATTAAATAAAATGAAAATATATTGAAAATGAATTTAATAAAATTCTACAGCATAACATTTATACATAAAGTGTGTATAGGTGCTCTATTTAGTTTTTAGTCACGAATATCAAATGAAATGAAAATCTATTGAAAATAAATCTAGTCAAATTGTGGCAACATCAAATAATTCAAGACTTAATAGATGCTCTAGTTATTTTTACCATTGGGCGCCACAAAGCAAATCACGTATACGACAAATTTGTTATTGAGATTGATTTTGTCAGGCTGTCAAGAGATAAAGAGAAAGTGGGCGTGCGAGTCATTCGCACGTAAAATCAGAGAACTGCTGACCATGGGATTGAACCCAGTATGTCAACGTGTTCAATTGAAGACCGTCTGACGTATATAGATATATATAGAAATGTGCAGAACAAGAGATGCGACATCAAAATGCCAGCTAGCCTCTATAGCAGAACGCAAACAGTTGACATAAAACAACGCTAAATAACAGCTGCCTTTTGCGAAAGTTCCGCTTGGAGCTCTCTGCTTTATGTTGCTTGACATTATATATTTTCATGGCTAACGCCCCGGCAGTTCTGTTGCTGCTTGATTAATGTAGAAAGCCAAGCGAAAGTCCGGAATTGTCGTTGGCGTTTTAATAAAATGCAAATTGATATCGTCACGAATTCAGCTTCAGTTTTAAAATCTAATTTAGTCTTTATATTCAGCTACATAAGCCAAGCCAGATATTGTTATATATTTTCATAGCAAATTTGACAGCTAAGGCAATAGACAGCAAAGCAGGAGCGTCACATTAGGGCGAGTGAAAGACGAGAGTAAATTTTCTTAAATTGTTTTTAAAATCAAACTGATTCCAATATGATATCTTTATATATATTTACTTATTTTTTTTAGTTCGATTACTCTTAACATAGCTAGTGCTCGTTGCCCCCTTTTGGGCCCACTGCTGACTTCGCTACGCTCCTGCTACCGCTGCTGCTACTGCTGCCCATTTGAATAAACACATTTGGCTGCCGCAGAAATTGGCGCCTTTCGCCGCTTCCTTTTGGAAAACTGTCGCTGCCCACGCGAAAGAAATATTGAACAGTTTCGCTGACACAATTTCTGCTATTTGCTGTTGCTCTACGTTTGCAAATTTGAAGAGAAAAGAAATAATCCAAAGAAAATGTTTAGCATTCAGCTGACGTTCTATTTGTTTACAATCGAAACACAGGCCCCCCACATCCCTATGCGCAGCAGAGTTAAGGCTAATGACAGATGGCATTTGCTAAATGCTATAAAATGAATCCATAGAGATATCAAACTAAACTTGAACTAGCACACTCTAAGCACTGTTCATGGCAAGGCACGTAGCAGTGCGAGAGGCAGAGATTTGAAAGCTCGTCAAAATTTCAGTTTGCAGCGGCAATTGACAAGGGCTTTAACCATATTCATGTCGGGGCCAGCCCCCCTTTGTGGCTGTCACCGAGCGCCAGAGGGACCCAGACCCGATCATGCATATAAACCCATGCAATATGCCTGGCTGTCAGCACAAATGCCCGTATGTATCCACATCCGTATCCATGCCCGCCCACACGTGCCCCATTCTCAGCGAACGCGACGCAGCTCAATAAATAAAAATTTATTTGCGCTGCCAGTGAAAATCGCATATAGTGTTTGGTTTTATTTACAATCACACGCAGATATCATCGCTCTGCTTCAGTGCTTAGCTGCATGTGAATATATATATATATATGTATGTACCTATATAGTCATATATGCAATATTTGGAATTTTATTTCATATATTTCATGCTGGCATGTTTTCATTCCATTTGGTTACCTTTTGTGTTATATTATATATTATTTATTGTTATCTTTGTGAATTTTCCTAAAAATATCCGACAGGGAATTTGCGAACTGTTTGCGTTTAATTGGATAACGTCAAGTGGCATATTTGATTAGAATATTTTTAAACAATTTTTCGTTGGTATTTTTCACACAATAAATATGCCAAATTCATATAAATATTTTGTAGCTATAATTTATTAAACTCTGAATGCATTAAGAGAACAGAGCCTGGATTAGAGCGGCATAAATAATTGCATGCCCTGCAGCTCTCACATAATCTATACAAACCATGTAAATACACACACACATACGCATACATATATACATATCTGAGCTAAGCTCATTTGCAATTTTGCCAGCCAAAAATCGTCAATTGCACTAATTATGCAAGGCGCTGGCGCCCAGACCAGCCTTGTCGAGTATTTGCAGCTAGCTTTTGGCCCTTATGACATCAGTGCATGGCTCATCATAAACGGGCGAAACATGGCCAAGAAGGGGTGCGGTAGGGCACGCGGAGCTGGGCCAGTGAGCCGGAAACACTAACGAGAAAACTCTGCAACATTTTTGGTGGCAATATTTTTGGCAACGATGTTGCCGCTGGCGCATTTCTGGCTGCATTGAAAATGAGGCTGCAATTTGGCAGCATTTTGTGGGGACAGTCGCAGCACCTCCTGCTCTACTTTCTCACACTCCTGCAGCCCTAATTTATGTGGCAGCGAATCGTTGCAGCATTTAGCTTGATTATTCATCATTTTAAATGGAAATGGGAAACTAAACGAGTCGCCGTTAGCCTTAATTGCGCTTTAAGCCCGCTGAAGTTTAGTCAGGTCTTGCTCGAATGGGCACAGACAGCGCGTTGCCTTAAAGGATTAAGGCATTAGCATGCTGGAGTACAAGCTCTTTGTTATTTGATGGACGCATCTGTGGGCCAACATGACAGCCAGACGGCGAGCCACAGCTACAACTTGAACCAGAACCAACAGCTGGACCGGCAGCCGGATCAGCACTTGGCACAGCTCTGCTGCCAACGACAGTTTCACGCTTCATTTGCATAAAGAGTCGCTGTACATTGCGCACCCAAAGGCAGAGACAACTCTACCAAAGGGTCGAGCGACTATCGCAGAAGTGTCGATAATGACCCGACAGCAGTTTAGCAGTTTAGCATCTGGAGCTAAACAGCTTTAAAGCAAGAGTTTTATGGCGAACTCTACTTTATGAATTGTGAAATGTAATATTAGGTCGACATTGTATTATTTGTTCGCCGACAGCAGTTGCGGTCGTTATATTAAACATGGCAGTAACCACATTGCGTACACGACATGTTGGCTGCATAAATTAGCTTAGGCCATTACCCCAGCCACAATCGGGGCTTTTCATTCGGTTCAGCCGCGTGGCAGCGCCATCTGTTGTCGCCTTTTGCATTGACCTTAACCCCGCGCGCGAGCAGCGTTAAGGAAATGGAAAACAAAGCAGACACAGCAAACACAGCACAAAGCAAAACTAAGCCAAAAACATAAATATTGTCAAGCGAGCAGAGCAACAGCTAACGGTAAACAGCTGTTTGGCCCACAACAGCTGGTCTGAAAGAGCGCCTGCGCCGCAAAGCCAAATTTAAGAGAGTCTCTGGGCAAGCAAAGAGCAAAGCCTTTGCAGACAGCGTTTGTGTTTGTTTGACTTTGCTTGCTTTTGTTTGACTTTGCACTGTGATTGGGTTCCACATTGCCTGCGACCGCTGTGGAACTTGACTTAGTTTCTGCCTTTCCGGCCAAATTACCGCCAGCAGTTGCCGCCAAATGCTGCTGCGAATCGCGCACAGCTCGATTGCCGCTCGCTGCATTTAGTCAGGCTACGCGTATTCTCGTCTTCGTCCAGTGTCGTCGTCGTCGCCAGTTCGTCCATCGTCAGAGTCCGGCTCTTCGCTGCGAATTATATCATGCGAATTTTCGGCAATGTTGTCTCAGTTCTATTTTGTATTTCGTGCGCCGCGAATCGGTTCTAATAGCCGCACGATCGGCTCCGCTCATTAAACAATACGTCCGCTGTCGTATGGTCAGCGTAACTATGTGAAACTTAAATTACTTGAAATATTTTGGTACATAAAAAAAAAAATAATAAAAAAAAAAATGAAAATGTGTAGTTTCGTGTAACATTGAAATAAATAACTTTATCTATGCGAGCTGCAAGTCCCCAGTTGCTGTAAGTGTCCTGAATTATTATAGCCCCATTTATCATGTGCTTAACGTTAGAGATGCAAATTCTGAATTCAGTCGGGAATATCATTTCGGCTAGAGTCAATTTCGTTTTAGCTAGGAAATAAATTTATAAATAAATCTCGTGTATTTTCTTTGATTTTACACAACAAATAATTTCATATTTTTCATTTTACAATTTCGATTACATTTCCAATCAATTGCCTCTAGAGCAAAAATGCTTTAATCATTTGTTAGAGACCGTTGAAGCCACAGCATTTTCCATTCATTTGAGAATGTTCAATTGAACAATACGCCTGAATAATTTGTGTGTTTCTCGATTAAAATTAATGAAGTGTTACTAATGTCGGCTAAGAAACATTTCTCAATTTCCAATTGCTGGCAAATAGTCAGCTATTAATGTGCTTGGCAAATAATCGAATCAAATTATTTTCTGCATTTCATTTCGTTGGTTTAGTAATATAGCAGCTCAGTTAATTTTTAGGCAACTCTTTGTGTGGGAAAAATAATGTCCCTAGACAAATGGGACAATACCGAAAGCGAAACAATTCAAACAATCTCGAAATGGCACTAGGAAGATAAAGGCGCACGTTGCTGGCACGTGACGACACAAAATAGAATAGAGAGTGCTACTTGAGAGACAATAAATAAAAGACGCTGAATAAGAACAAGAACTAGAACAAGACGAGGAAAATGCATTGAAAAGACAAGTGTGCGACACTTGAGTGTGTATGGATGGCTTTGCTAGGGTTATGAAACAAGCTCCTCGAATTGGCTGCCAATAACAGGAAAAACAATGAGGCACAGGTAGAAAATCAGGACATGACAGAGGGATAGAGTGCATTTTCAATTGTGCATTGAAATGAAATTATTCAAGTGATTTTCCAGCCATGCAACACAACTCATTGGCTAGCCATGCAGGCGCATCTCCCACGCTCTCTCTTTCTCTCTCCCTCGCTATCTCCCTTTCTATGACAGGTGTGTGCAGCTGTTGTGGCAGCTGTGTTAATTAGAATTCGTGTTGCCATTAATTGAAACACGAACGGGACAAGCGTAAACCAATGAAGCTGCTCAACAGTGGGTGTCATCAATCAATGGCCTACCCAAAACTTAATTAAAATCCAACCCCTCTGCGTATGCCCTTTAATGGCCAGAAATATCTATCAGTCTCTGAGGCTAAGTTTCATTATTTTTCGCTTAGCTTGATTTCATTTATTTTTATTTTTATTTTTATTTTTAAATATTTTGAATAAAACTTTTACAGCTGTAAGTTTAGCGCTTGGTCATGGCATCCAAATCAAAGCACTACTGGTCTGTTTTCGTGTAAAGCAGCAGCATCATCATCTGCCTGAAGTTTTAATCAAAAATCAGTTGAAACTTTCAGCGCGCGAACTGCTGACCAAACTTTCTCGCAAAACTAATTCCGAGCCAAAATTATAAAGTATTCTGGTTAAATCGGAACAGAACAAAATGAAGAAGAAGCGAAATCATCGTAATGAGCTATTGCTGTCTTGAAATTAAGTAAACAAGCAATTTGCATAACGCTGCGTATACGCAATAAAGTATTGATATAAAAATCAGGGCCTAAGCAACGGCCATATCAACATGGTTTTTCCCTTATTTATGTCGTTTCCCGTTTCCTGCTGATTGAATTTCGCTTTGATTCTTTGTCATTCGCCATTTGCCTTTTTGTTTTGTTTTTGCCCCAGCGCATTATCGAGCTGATATTATTAGAGTTTTCTTTGTTTTCGTTGTCGCTTTCGTTGTTTTCTTTTTATTTTTGGTTTTCGTTTCTTGTTTTTTGTTGATTGTGTATGCTTGCGTAATTTGAGTTGATATACGATAAGCCAGAAGTTGGGCGCCTATCATGTGGCCTCTGATTGTTTCATATTAAATGTATGGCTGCGTTGCTGACCTGGCTGGCAGTGCGCCTCGCTCGCGTTGCCACAACAATTGCCGCAGGTCGTGGGCCTTGCCATTTTTTATGGCTCACTTAGACGCAGATTTGTTTGCAAATGATATGTCAGCCAAGTCGCACGTAATGCCAATTATCATAAAATTACATTTTTTTCCTCTTCATATTTTTCTTTTTCTTTTTGCCGGATTTATTTATGAATTGGCTGCTTACGTGAGCTGATGTACGGCAGCAATTGCTGGGGCTATTTATAAAAATGCAGAGAAATAAAGAGACGAAAATTAAATTTAACAGTGGCTTTAAGAAATGTTTTGCTCTGCTTAAGCAATCTCTTTTATGACATTTAAATTATTGTAAAATGTAAAACATTTATTCGAGTATTTAAGCTGAACATGTTTATCTTTTTCTCAGCAAACTTTTTCCTAAAAAACAGAGAGAGATGTAGAAAAACAACTTTCCTTTTATTTAATAAAACATTTCAAGTTTTATGATAAACAATGGCCAACAACTTGCGCTGCAGCCGGTACTTTCCGCCTGCCAAATCTTTGCTGTCAAATGTTGTTTTTAGAGCACTCAGAACTAAGCCTCGCAAAAAGTTGCATCCGCTTGTTGCGGACTCTTTGGGCCAACAATTTATGGCGCAGCAATAAGAATTGTGACAACAAATTTAGCAGCTTGGCCAGAATGTTGGAAGTCGGCAAAGAGAAGCTGCATAACTTAATATACTCCACATTAACTTTAAATGCAGCGCAATTTATTCACTTGCGCCTCGGTTTACAGGGCAAAGTTGTCAAACCAAATTTATGAGCTCGCCTGAAGCCGATGGCTGACTTTTGAATAATGCAAATAAATAAATATGTATATATATATTCATCTTCACAAATAAATCTCTTTTGGCAATGCAATGAAAATGATTATTTAACAGCTTGCTGCAACATTTGAGTGAATTCTGAATTGCTGTGAAATTGCTTGACCGCCTCTTACGTGCCCCAAGCATATCAGTTGGTGCAACATGCGGCATGACTATTAAAATGGACCAGACCCAGCTGGACTGCCAAAAAGCTTAACTTGGCAAAGGCCAAAAATAAGAAGGTGATAGAGGGCATCATTTGCCACAGCTGGACACTGAGGCTGAAGAAACTTACACTGATAGGGCATATTGAAAAGGAGAACATTTTCATTTGCTTCAACTTACTTTAGAGTATATAGTCTAGAGCATTGCATAGTCATGCATAGCCTGCAAAGCTGTCAACATGCTGCCTCACGTTTTTTGATGACAGCGATGGCGGGCGACGCTGTTAACGACTTTGCGACACTTGGTTCAGGTTAAGGGCAAAGTCATGAAAGCGCTATAATTCGGTAATGAAGGCAGACACAGCTGCAGACAGTCACTATGAATTAACCATAAATATACATATAGAAGACGAGCATTTTAGATAACGAGCGAGCGCCTCAGTCGATCCCAAGCTGACTCGATGGCTCCAACAACCGCCCATTGCACTTTAAATAGGCCAAACGAATATGTGGCCAAGCTTATTCTACTTTTTTTTTTTTAATTTTTTTAATAGACAACTCAGTGAACATTCTGGCACGTTATTGAAAATCAAATAAGACTGAAGACTGAAGACTGAAATGCCAATGCTGAGGCAGTGCAACTGCAGCATGTGCGTGAGCCACTTGCTGATGGCAGGATGGTTGGTTGGCCTGCTGGTTGGGTGGGTGAAAGCGAAAGTGCATTTGAAGTGTTTTCTTCTAATTTCGCTAAGGGTGGCGCGAAGCGCAACRCAACGCAAATTGACACACTCTTTGGCACAATTGGGTCATAAACTAGTCCAAGGATCTAGAGCTGCAATCAAGCTTTTGTATAAATCGAACTAAATAGGCATGATAACCTTTTTGATTGAGCGCACGTATCTGTGAGTGAGTGCTGTGTGTGTGTATACGTGTGTGCTTGTGTTTGTGTAGAAGTGTGTAAAGTAGTTTGGCTTAGTTTTTATGCGTCGCCTGCCATAAACAGCGGTCAGCATGTTGTATCATGTTCTCGATATGGTCGCCCAATTAAATAATTAATGTTTCTGATTGATTGCGCCATAGACTATGAAAGTGTTTACTAATCAGTGAGTTTGTTTACATAACTAGCTAGGCTAGACTACTTGCCTGCTTCGCTAAGTAATTGGACTGAGAAATAATTATATACATATATATGTACGTATCTTGCTTCGGCTTGTGGAAATTATGAAAGTTTGTCACGTTCCAATTTAGTCCAATGTATATTTATATTTGTTATACAATCCAGTTCTACTTAGCTATAAACTGCAATTTAAGGCTTTGGTACAAAGTTTCGAAATAGCAATTATTTTATGTGCATTAAAATTTCATAGCCTACTTTCAGGCGGCAGCGTAATTTGTTATGACAGGACTTGAAAGAAACTAAACTGCGGGGCCATTTCGCTTCCCATGTCAGCCAGCGCTCGCACCTAATTCAATTAGTCAACTTCATTGTTAATTAAAACAAACTGCGCTGCTCACAGCATGAGCATGTACGTGGTCCTGGGACACGCCCAATTGAGTGTCAGCTGGCTGTAATGTTTTCTCTGTGTTACTTTGTGGCAACAGTGCGTAAAATAATTAAAAGAAATATATATCAGTGCTCACTGTGTGTCCTTGCTGCTAAGTAGATTTCAAATTATTCCATTAGTGCTGATGACATTTGGCCTGGCTCTGCCAAGATGATATGCCATGCGATATGTGAAGTGCTAATGTGCCGCTGTTTGGCTGCCTGGGTGTTTGGCTGCCTGGCTGCTGGCCAAGTTAATTAAATACTCGTATGTGCTCGGGCCATAGGCGCCGCCGGAAGGAAACCCAGCTTAGCATACATACACACACACACATACCATAAGACTATTTATGGTCCAACATCTCTCGGCTGGCATAAGCTCAAACAATTGTGAAAAATTGGTAAACAAATCGCGGGAAATTAACCTTCAGTGAATGGAAGCATAAGAAATGAAAATGTAAATTCATCGCACGCAGAGCCCAAACCTGACATGATTTATGTCTGCGAATGAAAC